TAAATATATTATACACGCACACACATATACACACACACAAAGAAAAACAAGTAGATAGAATAGAAAAAATAAAAAGCTAGTGTTTGCTACCAGTCAGCTACTGGTAGCCAGTGCAAATTGATGATCAGAGGTGTGATATGCGTTATTTTCGGCTCATTAAAGATTAATCTTGCAGCGGAATTTTGGATTAATTGTAGAAATTATATTATATATTATATATATTATACTTCTATTCTAATTCATTGGAGTCGTAAAGATTAACAACAAGATAAATTTATGTTATGCAGAAGAAGACATTTGTAACGATTTTGTATTTGAATACAGAACATTAGGATGAGTAAATGATGATGACAGCTTTTCTTTTTTTTGGGTGAACAATTGGTTTAATGTTTGTTAATGTTCATAATTACATATCCTAACACAGACTACGAAAACAAAAACAACGAGATGCTTATAAAATGTACATGTTCTTTTGATACTCAAGAAGTTTAAAGGGGTCATATGATGTTGCTAAAAAGAACATTATTTTGTGTATTTGGTGTAAGGAAATGTGTTTATGCGGTTTAAGGTTAAAAAAACATTATTTTCCACATACTGTACATTATTGTTTCTCCTCTATACCCCGCCTTTCTGAAACGTGTCGATTTTTACAAAGCTCATCGGTCTGAAAAGCGAGGTGTGCTGTGATTGGCCAGCTATCCAGTGCGTTGTGATTGGCCGAATACCTCAAGCGTGTGATGGAGATGTGATCGGAGAAATGACAAACAACAAGCGCTACTCTATACTGCTCAAAATCGTCAGTGGCAAATTCTCAAAACTCGCGTTTGAATTGTCAGTGGCCAATTCTTTAAATATAAAAAACTTACTTACAGTCTGTGAGTCAGAACAGCCGGCATTGTAGTCTACTCTTAAAGGCACAATATCCAAAAATAATATCCACAATATCCATATCCAAAAACCACTAGAACAGTGTTATATATTTTTGCTGACTTGTGTACTTACATTATCCCAAATGTTTCGAAGAATGTTTAAATCCAGAGAAATAAGCAATTTTAACTAGTGCTCCGGACCGTGTCTTTAATGTCACCTGCCAATGACGTCATGCACCCTCGATTTCCGCGTTTTATTAGACTTCCGGTTTTGTTTTGTAGAAAACATGGAAACACCAAAGACGCTTTAATAAGTTATGCGTTTTATTAGACAGGTGACGACCGCACAGAGTAGCATTATAACAGAACTTTCAAACGTATCTATTATGATAAAACAGCGCTGCTTTACCCCACATACGCACGACCGGAAGTAGCGGAAGTGGTCGACTGTGGCACAATAAAAGCTCCGCGAGCCGTGTGTCACGCTCGTTCAGTGGCCTCATTTCGCTTCGACGGCTTTCAGCCTCACCCTGCTTCATTCTACTACGTTAATAAATCATTAGCTCATCCATGAACATGATTTCTGCCCGAGTCCCGTCGGATTGCATCGGCTGTGGAGATGAAGACGACAACTCCCATGATTCCACACTCAGTCATAGCGTCATCAAACTACGCCTTTGTTTTTTTGTTTATTTTGAATTTTCTTTTGTGCTCTACAGAAGACAGGAAGTTATACAGGTTTGGAACGACATGAGGGCAAATGATGTAAATGATCACCGAGTATTCCCTTTTTGACAAACTATCCTTTAATTGCAATGCACTCGAGCGTTATTGACAGACTCTCCAGTACAGTAGGTGGCGGAATGGATTGGTTTTCTCGACGCTTCCAGTCAGACGATGCTGTTTCCTGTGACCTGCCGTCTCTATTGTATATGTGTGACTCCACAGGCCAGTGCCTCGACTAACTGTCATGGACAGATTTTGCATGTATTTCTGGATGGTATCAGAGGACAAACCCGGACTCTCTGAAGACGCATGAGATAGACGTGTAAAGTAGGTGTGTTTCAGGACTATGTGAGAGAACTGGGCTAGCAGAGTAGCCAACATAACTACTTATTGCTCATTTAAACAAAGAACTGCTGTCAATTTACTCTCATATGCACATTTTGTTTTCGTTTTCCTGTTTTTATTGTTAAGACATACAATGTGTGTAAATATGACACCCATACAAGCTTTACATAAAACTCGTTCTTTGTTTTATTTTTGAAGTACATATGGGGATTTATTGTGTTAACTAATGACTTTATGTTTGAAAAGGATGTAAATTATATATTAACGTCAGACTAGAGTTTTGACGCAAATGTTTTGCACTTCGATATGCAGATGTGTATATTGTTTATATATATATATAATTTCGATTTTGTATACACTATGTGGCTGAATTATGTCTAGTCTGTATTGTTTGGGCTTTAAATATTTCCTCATCTTAGTCATCTTTTCTCCATTTGTCTTCAGGTCATGGATTTCCCAGGACATTTTGAGCAGATCTTCCAGCAGCTGAACTACCAGCGGCTGCATGGACAGCTGTGTGACTGTGTGATCATGGTTGGCAGCCGTCATTTCAAGGCCCACCGTGCTGTGCTGTCCGCCTGCAGTACGCATTTCCGAGCACTGTTTACTGCTGCCGAGGGAGACGCCAGTACCAGGATGATCCATCTGGACTCGGAAGTGGTGACGGCTGAAGCGTTTGCTGCACTGATGGACATGATGTACACGTCCACGCTGATGCTAGGAGAGAGTAACGTCATGGATGTCTTGCTGGCCGCTTCTCATCTGCATCTAAACACTGTGGTGAAAGCCTGTAAGCACTACCTTACAACTCGCACTCTACCCATGTCTCCCCCGGCAGATCGTGGTGGTCAGCCGCAACAAGCAGCAGCAGCAGCTGCCAACTCTCATCTCCAGCGCTCATTTCTGCTGCAACAGCTCGGCCTGAGCCTGGTCAGTTCTGCCCTGAGTGGGGCTGAAGATGGGGGAACAGGGACCGGGAGGAGAACGGGTTCAGCGTGCGCTAGCGGGTTGGTGGATCAGCACGGTTCTCACCCGACACGCCGTTTCCTGAAGCGCAAACAGCCCTTGTCCCTGATCGCTTCGGAACGGGGGAGGCCGCGCCTCTCCTCGCAGGTGGAGGGGCGTGTGGGTGGAGAGGAGCTTCTGTCTCCCGATTCTCAGGGTAAAATAATGGATGAGGTCGTCGCTGGGGTCATTCCGGGGCATGATGGAGGTTTACTAGAGCAAGATGAGTATCGAAGGGGACTGACCCATGAAGACATGCAGCTTCCCACTCAGTCAGATGGAGGGAGGGGAGCAGGACCGGAAAAAACGCTGCTGTTGCCACGTAAAGAGGAATACCCGGATGCGAGCCATCACCATAGCGAAGGGATGAAGATAAAGAATGGAGGTGAGGAAGAAGAGGAGCAGCAGCAGCACATGCAGGTCGTGGTGAAGAGTGAGCCACTGAGTTCACCTGAGGCTGTTGATGAGACTAGCGATGTTACGTCTCAGGCAGAAGGGAGTGACCAGGTAATTGTTTTTGATATTAAGCTAGTGGGACTGTAACGGATGTATTTTGTTACTGGATTTTAGGTCCACCTGATTTGTGAGTGTTTCGGGAGAGTGTCCCTGGTAAGTTAGTATTTTGCTACCTAAATTGTCCCAAACTGCATGCCTCTGCATTTTGGAAAAGTAGAAGTCAGTTTATATAAATTTTCAAGAGGCAATGCTGTATTAATGATCATAATCAAGATTGACTCGTTCATTGATTATTATTTTCATTTTTTATGTTAAAAACATGTGCACTGCTGTTCAAAACTTTGAGGTCAGTAAGATTTTTTTTATTATTCTGCAAGGAGACATTAAATTGATCAAAAGTCACAGTAAAGACCTTTACATTGTTACAAAAAAATTCTATTAAAAAATGGTGTTATTTTGAATTTTGTGCTTAATAAAGTATCTTAAAAGAGTCCTTATTGTCCAAAATAATAATAATCAGCACAACTGTTTTCAACATTGATAAAATTCTTGAGCTCCAAATCAACATATAGAATGATTTGACATTTATTAGAATAAAATACATTTTAAAATATATTAAAAGTTATGTTGAATTTTAATAATATTTCACAATATTTCTGTTTTTGACTATTTATGATCAAACGTAGTCTTGGTGAGCATAGAGACGTCTTTTAAAAATGTTACACAAATTTTAACGACCGAAACAAAAGAGCAAATTTTATAATGTTTTTTTTGTTGTTGTTTTTTTTACACAGTTTTGCTTGTGATTTGCTAGATTTTTACTTTTTTTGTACAAAAGAAGCTACATTTACAATACATTTGCTGTTTCATTTTATTGCTGGTTCAAAATATATTATTGAAACTATTATTGGCAGTTTTAGAGATTTCAGTTTTTAGCCATTCTACTAGAGCCATACTTACACATATTGCCTATGCAGAAATTAGTTGCATGGGAGTGTTACTAAGCTGGCTGACAGGTAAACTGACTTGCATTAAAGGGACTTTGTAAATACTTGTGATGTTTCCTTAGGTGGAGCCAGTTGGAGAAAAGCTGGAGCTGAGTCCAGAGGGCAGTGAGCGCAGCTACTCCGATCCCCAGCCCAGCTCTGAGCTGCTGATTAAAGGAAACAAAGGCTTAGGAGCAGCAGAAGACAGAGGAAGAGGAGAGGAGCTCTCCTGCAGTGATGCTCTGGAGTCCTCCTCTGGATTGCATATCTCCAGTTTCCTCAGCGCGAAGGCCTTTGCTGGCAGAGGGGCATCATCTAATCTTGCTAATAGTGTTGACAATATTCCCAACACAACAACCGGAGAGTTTCAAGCAGACCACGATCCTGCTCGTTTCTTCCTCCCAACCGATTCCATCAACACTTCATCTTCCTCTCTGCAGCTTCTTACGGGCGATGCACAGATCTGCTCTGACCTGCAGCCAGAGTCACTTCTTCTGCGGCCACTATATGATGGAATAGCATCATCCTCTTCATTAGCAACGTCCCGTGGTGGATCGGTGGACCAGCTCGCGCTTGAGTTCCAGCGAAACATTTTGGGATTACAGGCCTTCCCTCGTTCATCCAGGGGTGGCGCCGGAGGATGCCAAGCATACCGGCGCATCGCTCCCAAAGGTGCTTCAACACTTACAGACAGCCCTCAGCAATTTGACGCTGCCTCCTCATCCTCTTCCTCCTCAATGCTTCTCAATGGAGTAAACTTTGAGGGTTCCGTCACCGTAGGTCAAAACGGCAGCAGCTCAAACTTGAACCCGCTCCCCCAGTTGACAAGAGCCTCTGCAGATGTTCTGTCGAAATGTAAAAAGGCACTTTCCGAGCACAACGTGCTAGTGGTTGAAGGCGCCAGGAAGTACGCCTGCAAGATCTGCTGTAAGACGTTCCTCACTCTGACGGACTGCAAGAAACACATCCGAGTTCATACGGGAGAGCGCCCGTACGCCTGTCTGAAATGCGGCAAGCGCTTTAGTCAGTCCAGTCACTTGTACAAGCACTCAAAAACAACCTGCTTACGATGGCAGAGCAGCGATATGTCTAACGCCCTGCTCTAATTCAGCACAATCGCAGGCACTCCAAAGATGCATACAAGGATGACCAGTTAGTTAGACCCATTAGGTTCTGACTGTTCTTACTCTACTGAATGGGAAGATCTATACACCATGATCTCACAGCCACTGTTATAGTAGCTATAGGACCTTTTTTAGGTGTTTCATGACATTGTTAACATGCCATTGATGGTACAAATTGAAGGGATAGTTCACCCAGAAATGTTATTCTAAACTTGTGTGACTTAAAATTAAAGCGTTTACACGTTCTTTTGGTTGTTGTTGTTGGTCATACAGTAAACGTCAGTGGGGTCCGGTGTTTTTTATGGACAAATTTAGTTGAATCAGTCTTCAGAATATTTTCTTTTGTGTTCCGCAAAAGAAAGTAAGTCATACAGGTTTGGAATGACATGCGGGTGAGTAAATGATAACAGAATTTTCATTTTTGGGTGGACTATCTCTTTAAGTTTCACTGTGAGATGTTTTTAATAGAATACAGAGATGGAGATGTCTGCTTTAAGTGTTGCAAGCAGATGTCAGACAGAACCTTAGTAGCTGAATCAAATGTCATGATAATAGACGCTTCGAAGTCAGAATTGTATTGTCAGCTGTGTACTGTTGATGTATTTTAACTTTTGATGCTTCAAAAAGTGAGAGTTGGTCATTTTTCATTTAGGTGCACCTTTAGGTCAGTGGTTCTCAACCAAGGGCCCCACTAGGTGGCATCTTGCAAACTTCTAGTAAGTCTTAAGGGTATTTAAATTTAGTTAGATTAACATGATCTTGATTAAAATGTTAAAAACACTTGAAGATGTACAACATTAAACTAACATCATATTTTTGCTTCATTTGTTTTATTATGATATAAGTATCCAGCTAAATCTCCAGCAAAAGGGGGTCCTTGGAGTCAAAAAAGAAGTCAAAAAGGTTAAGAACCACTGCTTTAAGCTCTGTTCCAAAACCGAGTTTAGAACTGAACTGAAACTTCACATTGGAACATTTGGAAGGAACATAGGCAGTTGCTCTGCATGCCACACAAAGTGCTTATTTCAATGCTGTTGCTTTCGCTTGTGAAACTTTTGTGTTCCTTTCATTTGCACGTAAAACAAAAGCTTTAAAATATAATGTTCCGTCCCATCTCATTTTTCCCATCACCATGTCCTTTTAGGGGCTCTGTATAACTTACAGTTGATTGCAAAGGAGTTTGACACAAAGTCCATTTCAAGGAATGTCCATGGCCAGCTATTTTTGGCATCCAAGTCTAAATCCTATGTACTTGAATGGTGAAATTAAATCTCAAAACTTGCCACATTTCAAATCAGCAACAAAATCTGACATGAACTGTCCCATAAATGTTTTTTGTTACACTCAAAAAGCTTATATTAAGGTTGTGTCAGGATACTGACTCTTTCTGTGACAACTTGGCGATTGGCTCTTTTATTTAGAAGTTGGGACTTATTTCACCATATTTTTAATTGCACTTTCTCCCACTCATAGTAATTTCTTGTATGTCTAAAGTATTTGGTTTGATGTTAGCATGTTGCTAAGCTAACTGTGATTACACACTGTTTTGGGGTAAATACAGTTTTTAAAATATTTTTAATCAATACTTTGTGTATTTATTATCATCCATTTTGAATGCTTTTTTTTTTCCCACTGAGCTTGGCACAATGCATTCTAGTATTGCCTTTATTGTGCGGGATACATGTGATGCTGCTTTAGAATTTGGCCAGCACCAAATTCCTTATGGTTCAGTCTTCACATCAAGAGAATGCCTATGATGCCTTAAAATGCTATCTAGGTTGTCAGCTTGCTAGGTTTTGGAACACTGCTAATATGCAGATGAGTAGCCTACCAGAATCACTACTGTTACACCTTTACTGTTAGAAGTAAAAAAAAAAACACCGCAGCTTATCTTATAACAGCTTTCTGTTATAAGACAAATTTTGACCATATGTGGAAATACAGCAGAATTGACATTGTTGACATTGACAACACCTAATGATTAAACACACTGTGGTGTTTTCTATGGACAGTAATCATTCTGTTGTACTCTTGAAAATATTCATGCGGCAAGACATTTAAAATATATTCCCTTTTGCACAGAAGAGGTAAATGTTTTTACTAAAGCACTGTGTATTTTTACCTGTTTCTGTTGTATTCGGATTTGCAGATAGAAATCATAAACACAGCACTGCATAAAAGGACATTCAGCCTGACATTCTCAGAACGTCCTCGGTTTTGCTTCTGGTAAAGCTTACATTGATGCCTCTGTGGCTGAAAATACAAAGTTCTGTCATTAAACTAGATGGTGCAGGCCAATAGGTTCCAACTCAATCTGATATAATCACATCATTATTCACATGGCACAGCTGATTGGTTCCTTTTCGAATCAGCAGCCAATGAGCTTGCTGCTCAACATTCAAATACTTGGCTAGTGCTTGCTGTAGCAGTTGCAGCGCACTTCAGAAACCCTCCACCTTCCCCAGCTCCACCTGTATAGATCTGCTAAGGGGTTATTTTTATATATATTATAAATGCAGCAGCAGCAGTATTTCTTACATGCTCACAGCAGCATATCTGTGAATGTATTGGCAGTAGCAAGTCTCTGTATTTTCTCTGCCGCTGCGGCAGCGTAGCAGATCTAATCCGCCAAGACCAAACTAAATAACATTGTCATGTATATTACCATGCTCTCCGAGAGTTGTCATGACAGAACTGATATTAGCACCGACAGAATGGTAGACTACGATGTTTATGGGTACAATTTCCATATTAGCGTTTCTTAAAGCACTTGCTTACTGATTAAATTCATATTGATGAATTTGAGTGGTAGCTATTGGTGAGGTTGTCACTTTAGAAAAGGCTGTTACATTCATGTGCCTCTTTTGACCTTCCAGTGCACAGAGAGAAACCCATTATGTAAAAATTGCACCTTCAGTCTTTAAGGCTATAATGTTGTATGGGTTGTGGAGTAATACATACTTATCAAAATGAATTTTAAAAACGAACCGTAATTTGCTGTAAATGAAAATAGATGTTCAGTCATTGTATTAGTGGTTGTTTATGGATACTGTTAGAGGTAATATAACAGTCTTGTCGTAGTACTTTGTGTTGTCTTCTGTGATGTGTTTGATGCTGTACTGAGAGGAGTCCTTAAATACTCGACGAAGTATAACCGTTAAGATTTAGAAGCTGCTTTTACAAACATTCCAACCTGTAAATAAGCTGTTACTGCCATCTTTTATTTGACTGTAGTAATGCTTTTGCCTTTATGGTAAATATTGCCCCTGTTTGAAATCTTGTTAGATTGGATGGACTTAAAGATTCTGAATATGAAAAATTATAACCTACCCCCTTATCAAAGACTGTAAATTCATCCAAAATTAAATGGAGACATATAAGTCTAAATTATTGTACTTTATTATTTATTGTGCCTGTGCCTGAGTGTTTTTTTTTTACATGAATGTTGACACTTGAGTGTTCATGAAACAGTTCTTTTACAACATTCCTAATATAATCAGCAAAATATACTGGGCATATCAGAAATCCAAAACATGTTTGAACTCTCAATTTACTCATTAATTGTCAAACAGCAGTTGACCTTAAATGTAAGTGCATATGTGTTAAATGTAACTAATCATACAGGACTTTTTCTTTAAATGACCTGAATCACAATGCCAACTGCCTTATGTGATTTTTTTTAATTATTATTATTTTTTTGTACTATGATTCTCAGATCTAGAGATGCCAAAAGTGAAGGAATTAATGCGAGTGTGTAATGGCTATTAATCGCACATTGTTAGAGCACTCATTTTTTTCCTACTGGTTTAAAGAAGAATTAAGTGAATAAAATCATGAAGAATGCTATTCATTCAGTCTGTCTTTTCATTCATGTATTTATGTATTTGTCTTACTTGAAAAGGGATGACTAAAGAGTTCCAAACTGGCAACATATTTAAGGACTGAAAGACTTGCATGGATATCACTGGTGTTTGCTGAGTTTGCTCTTTGTAGATGATTGATCTCAGACTGTGAACCTTGCCTGTGTGCTCACAAACACTGGGCTTTTGATGTTACAACACAAACGTGGGTTCAGCATTGTTGTTCTTTTAAACGAACAGTTCATCTAAAAAAGACAATTCTGTCACTATATACTTAAGCCATATGCTTTTTTTTAACCCAAGCTACAGTCCATGTAGTCCAATTTGCTTTTCGTTTGTTTGGCATATATGTTGTAATTCTGAAATTTAGAGATTCCTTTTATATATTTTATGTAGGGATGCACGGCCAATATTAGACTTTTTTTAATTATTGGTATCGGTCAATATTTCTTTATTAATTGTGATGCTCATTTTCTACATTTTTCCATTTAAATTACCTTTGCCATCATCTAACACATTAGATAAACACTTATATTCAAAAACACTCATATTCAAAAACGCTGTTAAAAGTAATCTTTAGCAAAACTCAAAATGCATATCCATTTTTTATACTGAACATTATAATGTTATGCTAAAAATTCACTTGTAACATTGAAAATGATTATTTTGTTAATTCAAAATTATAGATTGACTATTGGTTATTGGCTTTAACATGTAAATAGTTCATCATTTGTCTTTTTTTAAGGCTTTGGACAGTTGTGGTCACTATGAGCTGTTCTCGTATGGAAAATTCTCTGTCCCATTAAAAAAAAAAAAAATTCTGAATTTTCAATTTGGTTGTCTAGTTCTACAGCTTGAGTTCTTTAGGCATGGGTTCTCCTCTGAGTCCAGCCAGCAGGTTGTTGGCGGCAAGAGCAGACATGGAGTTCCGTGTCATGTAGGAAGCACTGGCAATGTGGGGAAGAATCACTGCAAATTCAAACATGGACACAGAATACTAGATTTTTTTCAGAAAACACCTGCCAAATGCTTTAATAAAATGCATAAACACATGTGCATGCTTACCGCAGTTTTTGAGTGTGTAAAGAGGATGGTGTGTGGGCAGCGGTTCAGGTGTGGTGACATCCAGCCCGGCTCCAGCGATCAGACCAGTAGACAGGGCTTCATACAGATCCTCCTGATTAACCACTCCTCCTCTTTACAATAGCAACACAAACAGAATCATGCAGTGAAGTGCCGAGAGACACTAGTGTACTGTGGTTCAGTTGAGGTAAATGGTATAAACAAGTTATAAACATGACGTTTGCTGCTTGTTTTTTTTTTTTCAAACGTTTCAGTCAAGAAAAGTTACATAGTGCTGCTTTAATATATACTAGAATGTTATATAAATAATACTAAAATAACACTGGAAAGAATGTCTTAGTGCTACCTGCTTGTGTTGATGAAGATGGCATTTTTCTTCATCTTGGAGAAGAGATTCCAATTGCAGATGCCATGAGTCTCTGGAGTCAGAGCACAGCATATGGCCAGGAAATCAGACTGTTTGGCCAACTCATCTAAAGAGACTAAAACACACACAGAGACACACAGTTCATTTGTTCGCTACCTTGCAACTCCAACTGTCATGAAGGTTCTGTGAAGTTTTCTGAGATTTTCCCACCATATTCGGCCTCTATCATATTTGCGAGCTCAGGTCTCGGCGCCACATCTGTGTAGATGAACTTTTTCACCTTAAACGGCTTCAGACGCTCGGCGATAGCCACACCTACACACACACACACACGTAAATTAATCCGACATATTATGATACCCACCAAATAAATGATTCAGAAATGATAAAGAGTCATAATCCCATCCATTTTACTTACCAATCCTCCCAAGTCCCAAGATGCCAACTGTGCTGTTTGCTAGTTCATGACCACACAGCCATAAAGTTCTCCATGTTCCCCAGCCACCTCTAAACACAAGTATAAATCAGTATGCATCAGTGCATGATTAGCTAGCAAATGTGTAAGTTTTGATGGTTATTAGTACGTTTTAGCCTCATGTGTGGCCTCAATGAGTCTTCTGGACGTAGCGAGTAACAGGGCAACTGTCAATTCAGCAACACAATCAGTCAGAACATCCGGAGTATATCCTACACGGATTCCCCTGGGAAACACACAAGCCAGGTCACCAAGGCACATAAGAAATTCACAGCTAAATTTTACTCATGCAACTGACCTTTTCTTGAGCTCATCCAGAGAAAGATGATCAAAGCCCACTGACATAGTGCTGACGACTTTTAGATTTGGACCTGCATTATTGAGACACGCATTCAATACGTCACTGCATTTGTCCTGATTCGTTTCAACCTACTGATGATCATGCATCGCAAGCTAACCTGCAGCATTCAACAGTTGTGCGTCAATCTTCTCTGTGAGCACACACAGTATTCCTTCGCAACCTTTGACCTTTTTCAGCAGCTCCACTCGGGGCACAGGGTCATCAGAGTCCCACATCTCAAACTGCACCCTGGGATTGTGTGGGCAGAATTGAGAGAAGGTTAAAGGATTAGTTCACTTCCAGAATAAACATTTCCTGATAATTTACTCATCCAAGATGTTCATGTCTTTCTTTCTTCAGTCGCAAAGAGATGAAGGTTTTTGAGGAAACCATTCCAGGACTTTTCTCCATATAATGGACTTCAATGGTGGCCAACGGGTTGAAGGTCCAAATTGCAGTTTCAGTGCAGCTTCAAAGGGCTCCCAGCCGAGGAAAAAGGGCCTTATCTAGCGAAACGATCTGTCATTTTCTCCAAAAAATTTAAATTTACATACTTTTTAACCACAAATGCACGTCTTGCACTAGCTCTGCGATGCGTGTTTACAACTTCATGCATTATGTAATCACAATGGAAAGGTCACGCGCGGTTAGCTCTTCGTCTGTGTACTCCATTTCAAAAAGGGTAGGTCGAAAAGCTCCATCTCATTTTCTCCTCCAACTTCAAAATCATCCGAAATCGTTGTTTTACCTTTTTTTGTAATGGCCGTTTGACTTTGCACGTTCGCTTTGTTGAGTCGAGCTGTATTGAAACTGCAATTTGGACCTTCAGCCCGTTGGCCACCATTGAAGTCCATTAAAAGTCCTGGAAAAACCTCAAAAACCTTAATTTTCTTTTCGACTGAAGAAAGAAAGACATGCACATCTTGGATGACATGGGAGTGAGTAAATTATTAGGAAAATTTTATTCTGGAAGTGAACTACTCCTTTAAAGAGTGAGAGAAAGATGTGAAAAGAGAGCAGTTCAATGATTTACAGGTAATTAGCAGCCCACAAACTCCCAAAACAAAGTTAAATTGACTGAAATGGCAGATCATCAAAAGACAGACTTTTTTGTTTTCTTTGACCCCGAAAATGTTATTTTTATTTCTTTACTGTTTTCGAATCTGTATAGAAATGAGTCTGATACACCAGATGACTAATGTTCAGAATGAGAATGCTCAGCCAATTGGTCAAAAGATTTTTATTAACTTTCTCTCTCTCAGTCTCTCACATCTTCAGCTAAGCAGAAGTTCTAGTTTTCCACATGTTGATCAAGTCTTTAATTTAGAAAAAAATGTAACTTATGAAGGTCTTGGTGGGGTAAACTCGTATGGTGACCCATACTCGGAATTAGTGCTCTGCATTTATCCCATCCTACACTCTAAAAAATCAACCGGGTTAAAATCAACCCAGTGCTGGGTAAAATGGGGATAAACCCAGCAATTGGGTTGATTTTAACCCAGCATAGCTATTGGGCTGTTTTGACCCAGCGGTTGGGTTAAATGTTTAACTTCTGGGTAGTAACCCAACCGCTGGGTCAAAACAACCCAATTGCTGGGTTTGTCCCCATTTTACCCAGCACTGGGTTGATTTTAACCCAGCATTTTTTAGAGTGTAAGTGCGCACACACACCATGAACACACAGCCGGAGCAGTGGGCTCCGGGCTCAGCAATGCCCGGGCAGCAGTTGGGGGTTTGGTTCTTGCTCAAGGGCACCTCAGTCGTGGTATTGAAGGTGGAAGAGAGCGCTGTACATTCACTCCCCCCACCTACAATCCCTGCCGGTACGAGACTCAAACCCGCAACCTTTGGGTTACGAGTCCGACTCTCTAACCATTAGGCCACAACTTCCCCATGTTACACACATAAATGTTAGTTAATAAAAGTAGCTACAATTTTTCAGTTCAGTTTACAGTGCATTATGTTAACAGCTACAACTTTTGATCGGAAATGAAATGTATTAATCAATAATAAATTGTTAATCAATCTTAATCAATGCTGTAGAAGTAGGCCAAAGTTCATTATTAAATAATGTATGTTAACTAATGTTAACAAGTTAAAACTTACAGTAAAGTAGGCTACCTTGTCACATGTTGTGTTGGTCCATCAATATTCATTTTAAAGTACACTACATGTTCTCACAGTGCAGCCTACTTAAGAAAGTATACTGGGTAATATAAGGTAACTAGCCTACATAGGGGTAGGGTCAGGGTTAGTACCTGCTTATTACCCATTTATTGTAATTTATATAATAAGTACATAGTATATACATGCGGAACTGTACTGTAAAATAAAGTGCTACCCATTTTGTAGGTAGCCTATTTATTTATAAACTTTGCGGACATAACAATGTTACGTCAAATAATACATTTTGGGCAAATAACAACCATGGAACACATTTTATGAAAGTAGTTGGTGTTTAAATGGCTGTTTCAACCTACTGTCCGGATTTGCGGAGAATGTCCAGCCCGTCCGGCGGCACCTTGCGCGTGACATACACTTTCGGTAACGTGGACATTGCGCGATGAAATCCGGTGACGGTACACGGGGCGATTCTCTGCAGTCTGCCGAGCGCTGTTCTACTGCACCACATTACGAGCATTATCAATCAATTCAGGGATCTGAGGTAAAGGTTGACAGACGTTGGAAGCGGCAGCAGGGGCTGTGTGTGGACAGTTTGGGGGGAGGAAACGAATGGGTGGCCTGTCTCTCCACACAACACCAGCCAGAGAGCAAATATGTCAGATAAATATGGTTTTTATTTGTTTATTTGTTTTTACATTCCAAAGTACCATAACTAATCACAACACACGGTGAATGCGTCTAAAGTTCTGCTATCAGTGGTATTGATTTAGTTTCAGTCAATCATTAATCAGGGTCACAAGCTAATGTTTATTATAATGAAAGAAAAATATTAAAATGCACTTTAACAAATGCGAAAGAACGTGAATTTAAAACTAAATAATATAATTCAAATATATCAAACAAATAGAACAAAAAATGCTTAACTTAACCTGTTTATAAGAGCTCATCAAAGTAACAAAAGACTAAATAAAAGAAAAAACACAAATTTAGGACTCTGTGTTCCAGTAATATCACCCCTGTGAGATGTGTTTCTGAATCTATAAATTGGGAGTATTGTAGTTCAAGGCTGCATATGCAGCTGAGTCTGGAATGTGTGTGTATGAAGGTTTCTGGTCAATCTTTGTCAATACAAACAGACTTTTTTTGTCCAATTAACTGAGTATACTGAGTAAAAATTAAAGAACACCAGCTTAATGCACATCAAAGTTAAACGTTTCACAAAACCCTCAGAGGAATGAGCTTCTTTAAATAATATAATGTATAAGCTTAATGTTTAAGCAAAAATAATATTTTGTCAGGATACACAGCTATCTTTAAATGACAGCAATTGTGGAGAAAGACACTTTAGGAATTTATTATTGTGTAAATATTTTTTTTAATTTTAGATTTTTTTTTTGAAAGTCAGTTTCTTTTTTGTTGCGATATTTTGAACAATGAATGCATAGTAAAAGTCAACCATGTAAAACATCAGTCAAATCAAATTCTGAGTGAGGTGACATGTGGCCAAGTATGGGGACCCATACTTGGAATTAGTGCTCTGCATTTAACCCATCCAAAGTGCACACACATAGCAGTGAACACACACACACATAGCAGTGAACACACACACATGCCGTGAACACACCGGAGCAGTAGGCAGCCATTTTTGCTGCGGCGCCCGGGGAGTAGTTGGGGCTTTGGTGCCTTGCTCAAGGGCACCTCAGTTGTGGTATTGAAGGTGGAAGAGAGCGCTGTACATTCACTCCCCCCACCAACAATCCCTGCCGGACCAGAGACTCGAACCCATGACCTTTCGGTTACGAGTCCGACTCTCTAACCATTAGGCCACGACTTCCCTCCTTTCACAGCTTGAATCTGAGATAAACAATTATGCTTTTTTACATTTTCAACTTCCTTTAGTGCATAATACTGAAGTTTTGCATGAAAAAGATCTGCAAAGTTACAAAGCACAAAGTCCAATATCCCTCATTTATATAATGACCCGCTTAAGGAATACACAAAAAAATATGAGGGGGGGCAAGGCCTGGTTAAGTTGCATTAGTAGTGTGTTGTCGCCATGTTCAAGAGGTTTCACAGATCTAATATACTAATACACATCCAGTTGTTTACGTTCACAGACATAAGTGAGTGTGTGTATGTGAACTTCGTGTGTGAACAGATGTATTGTTTGTTGATGACGTAGTAACTGAGGCATGAGCTGTAAAAGCACAGCCCTCTTCTGGAAAGGGTGGCGAGGAGCACATTTGCATTTAAAGAGACCCACATGCCATAAAGGGGTATTTACAGCATGAAATAATAAATGTTCTGTGAGCATAATAAAAGAGCTGGAACTTCGCAGACGTATTCTGAGGAAAGCTGGGATTTATATTACATCTTTTTTTTTATTATTGTTTTTTATGTTGCAGAACAGAACATACTGAACTTACATGAAACATTAACTATATACAAGACTTAGCCCATACATTCTGCCCATGCACTGAGAGTTTTTGGTTTGGCTTTGTTGATTCTCGCTGGTGAGCTTTCTAACAATATTTTTAATTCTATGGGCCAAATTTTAACTGCTGGAAATGTAGGTTCATGCCAAATCTTCAAAATTATATTTTTGGCAGCAGTTAGAGCAGTGTGGAGGATCCTATGTTGGTTAATATTGAGATCAAGATCAGCATCATCATTCAATAAGCAGAGACTGGGATGTTTAGAGATAATATCAAATAACTCCGACAAGACTTGGAAAACCTTGTCCCAAAATGTATCACTGAATTGACACTCATAAAACATGTGCATATAGGTCCCCACATTATTAGAATTACAGAGTGTACAAAAAAGGGCTGGCAAGCGTTTCATTTTATGTAACATAAGGAGTAGCATAAGCCTTATGGATAAATTTGTAGTGTATTAGTTGATGGGCAATATTTTCGGACATCATCGGAATAGTTTCCCATATCCAGTCCCAGTTTGCTTTGTGAGGAGCCAGTTCTTTCTACCAGAAAGTAGTGATGGAAAGTGTGCCGCAGCAATTATTTAGCAGTCTGTTATAAATAAATGACACTGCTCCACGTGCCTGGAATGGTTTCACAAAGTCCAACAGAGGATGACTGAGAGTTCAGTTTATGCCCACATTATATGCCCACATTGCTCTTCTCAACATTAGATACATAAAATATGAATGACCAGGAAGATTGTAGCTGTCTTTCAGATCTTGAAAGGACCTTAAGCCCTGGAAATTAAATATATCTCGCTAACATATACACCTTGATCAGACCAAGGCTTAAAGACAAAAGGTTTATTTCCAGATTGTAAATAATAGTTATTCCAAATGGGTGACTCAGATGAAACTTATATTACATCTTGTAAAAAGGGCATAATAAGACCCCTTTAAGAAAACAAAGAGAATATATATATATATATATATATATATATATATAGGGTACATCAACATTTTGAGAAACAAATAGCATAGACTACATGTCGTGCATTGTAAATCAATCAAAGGATCGATTTAAGGCAAGTGGGAAGTGGGGCCAGTGCACAGGGGCACTTGACTACCAGGAGCCCGAGGGGGCCCTAAGCTTTAAGGTGGCACAATCCAGGGGTAGTAAAGAAAACCCATCAACAATAAAAACAAATGTTTATCCTATCATATGTAAGGAGCCCAATAGTTTAAGGCTTCTCAAACAGCACTCTTATTTAGCAGCACTTTATAACTTTTCTCAAAACATCCTCGCAGCCTATCAGAGAGCTGTATTTGCTCACACTTATATCCTGTCATCACACCAGTCAGTCATTGGTGTTTATTTGTTATAATAAAAGTAAATTGTGTTCTGATAATACACGTCATGCATTAAAACCCCAATCAGGTTTTACCCCAGACAGACAGCACATAAACAATGTTGTGAATCCTAACGTTATACGAAGTGAATGCCTGCAAACGTGTATTCAGGGAAAACTGTACAAAATGTGCACGTTTGAGATCAAGCGCGTGACGTGACGTCATGACCGCTCGCGTCATAAATAAAAGTGAAAGTAAATGTTCAGATTTGCTATTTCGCTATTTAATATGTCGGAATCGATTCTATACGGGGTATCAAAGTGTTTCACAGGATAATCGGCAATGTCATAAATTAACGTGTAGTTACTTGATAAAAAGGTGGAGGATGTTTTTTAATTGATTAAATGTTGCAAGGTGAGTGCTCACGTTTCGAGACGCTCTACAGGTGACTTCCGCATTCTTATTTTCCCTGATGGACGAATCAGTTCTTTGATATGAGTTTGATATTTTTCATTTGTAATCACATGAACGTAGTTTCACTGGTGTTTCATATTTTAGCATTTGTGTTAATATATACGACTATCACTGTGCGTCTCATGATCCTGTTTCTTTGACTCTTAGGATCCGTTATACTGAATCATTGTGTTTGAAATTTCCATCCAGAGTCAGTGGTTTAGATCAGATTCTGTTTCAACTGCTCGGCTCCATCATGGATGACACACAAACATTCAGAGATGAAGATATTTCTCAAGGATGCAGGTAGGCCTATTTTGAATAAGCACTATTAAATCTAAATACTCTTTTAAATCATAGAAGATGGCAAGATGTTAAGTTAAAAATGAAAATTTTACCCTAAACTGCCTCCTCATAAACTTCTTTTTGATGAAAAATGCTTTTTAAAGACCTTATAGTAAAGTGATCATCATCATAAAGGATTACATCTGTTATGTTATAGTTCAGTTCATCAAACGAGATCAGAACCAGAGCCCAGCTGTGTGTCTATAAGGAGTGACAGGTCTATGGATCATATAATAGAGTTAAAGAGTGGAGATACACAGCCTGATCTCAGGTATAGCGTTCCAATTAAAATTTGATTAGAGTTTGACATGTTGTGTTATCAGAATGGTTTTAGTAGTATTTTTACAATATATGAGAAATACTTGTACATTGTTTATATATTTTTTTTCTCTGACATTTTAACACATCTGTGAAAGCACTCAGTTCAAATTACAATTTTTGTATGAACTTAATGTAAATGAAATTAGCATAAAGTGCTCTTTAAAGTGATTTTTAAAATGATACATAAAAATGCTATAGGTTGTATATTGAAAATCAAAGCGTTAACTTTAATGTGTCTCTGTTGTAGTTCAGTTCATCAAACGAGATCAGAACCAGAGCCCAGCTGTGTGTCTATAAGGAGTGACAGGTCTATGGATCATATAATAGAGTATAAGAGTGGAGATACACAGCCTGATCTCAGGTATAACATTTCCATTAAAATGTTGTACTGTATGAAGATCTTAATCTTAAAAATCTTAAAGTTCTCTTGCAAGTGATTGTTTTAGTGATCATTTAATAGGTAATTTGTTAAATATGTTGTTTCAAAGGATTCACTTTAATCTCTCTCTTTTATAGTTCAGTTCATCAGAGGAGATCCGAACCAGAACCCAGGTGTGTGTCTATGAAGAGTGAGAGGTCTGTGGATCATCCAGTACATTTTAAGAGTGGAGATACAAAGCCTGATCACAGGTTGATTTGAAGACATTATACAGAATACAAAATAGACATTGTGCATGTTAGCTCATCTAATAATGTGGTATTAATTTTACAGCCATGAAGTCCTCAACACGTTTAGATCAAATCTGATAAAGAAGTTTCAGTGTCTCTATGAAGGAGCAGCACAGCAGGGAAACCCAACACTCCTGAATGAGATCTACACAGAGCTCTACATCACAGAGAGTGAGAGTGGAGAGATCAGTAATGCGCATGAGTTGAGACAGATTGAGACACAATCCAGGAGAGTAGCAACAGAGGACACACCGATCAAATGCAATGACATCTTTAGAGCTTTACCTGGACAAGACAAAGCCATCAGAACTGTGCTGACAAAGGGAGTCGCTGGCATTGGAAAAACAGTCTCTGTGCAGAAGTTCATTGTGGACTGGGCTGAAGGGAAAGCGAATCAGGACGTCCACCTCATATTTCCACTTCCTTTCGGAGAGCTCAATTTATTGAAGAACCAAACATTCAATCTTCAAGATATTCTGCAACTTTTCATGGGCACAAAACAACTTGAAATCTCTCCAACTGAAGGTAAAATCATTTTCATCTTCGATGGTTTGGATGAGTGTCGTCTGTCTCTGGATTTCCACAACAACGTGAAGTTGTGTGATGTGACTGAATCAGCCTCAGTAGATGTGCTGCTGACAAACCTCATTGCGGGGAATCTGCTTCCCTCTGCTCTCATCTGGATCACCTCCAGACCAGCAGCAGCTGATCTCATTCCCTCCAAGTGTGTCCATCGAATGACAGAGGTACGAGGCTTCAATGACCCTCAGAAGGTGCAATACTTTAGAAAGAGAATCAGTGATCAGAGTCTGGCCAA